TAAACTAGTGACCATAAACTAGTGACCATAAACTAGTGACCATAAACTAGTGACCATAAACTAGTGACAGTAAGCTGTTAACAACTACGATATAAAGTTTGTATTAAATATCATTTGAAAACAAGTGTTCTCAGTATGTCATATTTTTCAGAATTAATAATTTAATATTAAATAAAAACTACACTTAATTGCATTTTTAAGTGAATAAAACTTTGCCCGACATTCGTACGGTAACCATTCATTCCAACTGTAGACTAGTTCCCCGAGTCGCGCCTGTGCGCCCAGCAGGGCTGGGGAGGTGGACTCACGGGTTGTTGGCGTCGGGGTCGGGCGTGCTGCGCCAGTTCTGGAAGAGCGTGACGCTGTGACGCACGCAGTCGTCCAGCCCCAGGCTGCACGACCAGCTGAGCACGTTCACGCGCTTGTACACCGTCAGCTGCGGGTCCGTGGGGTTGTCCGTGAAGCCCGTGTGCTCATACAGCCGCTGCACCAGCCCCAGCATGTACGCCTGCCGCCGCACAAAGCACTTCACTGTCCCAACGGCTCAAACATTGATGGGTGTATGACGTAGGGATCCTGTTTCTGACATTCGTTTTTACAACACAATGCTCTTTGCAACCGATAATAGAGCATTGTGTGCCTGAAAAGAGGTGATTTGTGCACGAAAATTTTCGTGGGATTTTCATCGTTTTTACCGTGGTTTGTAATTCACATGGAATTGACAAAAAAGTAATTATTTATAAGATGATCACATTGACAATAACGAATTGAAAATGCAAAAACTTTGTCACATTTTAACCGCCTTCTCTTCTTAGATTAATTAGCCCCAAAAGGGTTATTCACAGTTTCATGTTATCTTTATAATTTCAAAGGAAAAGGGGGCTTGTGTGAATTAAGTAGAAGTGTCTGAATATTTTTCATAAAACAAAATGATTTCGTGGATTTCGATTCCCGTGAGAGCAAAGTAATTTTCTTTTAATAAAAAGTGCATTTATTAATTCGGCAAAAAGTTTTAAAATATCCATTTCCTACAACTGATGTATTATAGAGCAATCTTAAAACTTATTTAGATTAGATTAATATCTTAATAATTTTTAACGAAAAAATATCAATAATCAGGTGTTATATATGGCTGAATCAAAATTTGAACATTTGATAATCACCCATAGAGGCAATATTTATTACTACTTTTACTGTCGTAAACCTTTTTCACACACATTTTACGAAAAAATGTATATTAAAATGGAAATATTACGTCTATGTACTACCGTACGTATTTCCTGCGCAAGTGACCGTGCTCATCTTTGGCTTCTTCCAACAATATCTTTCTCATACTTCAATCCAATTCTAGTCCCAGCAACAGCTGGCAATTTTTTTCCGAGGGTGGAAACACACGTGTTAACATTACGACCGGAATGTCTAGCAAGAAATATTGCCAACATCAGAAATATTTATTGCCGTAATGTTTACATTGGCAACTTTTCTT